TTTAAGCTCCCTTTCTAACTGAAATCTCCTTTCCAAATTCTTCTTCTTCAGTAATGCCTTACCTAACCTCAATCTAGATGTACTAAACTGAGCTGTAGACTTACTATTAACATTAATATCGTCACGTTTATCACCATTAAAATCAGACATACCACAGAGAGCTTTAGAATCTTTACCATCCATTTCGTCATTTTCCTTCGGCTTTTTGCTTCTGGTTTCCATTGTATGCCTTTGTTCGAAAATCGGTTACCAAGCATATGTGAATTAATCCAAAAGAATTCGACCAATAAGACCAAAAATTGTACCCAAAATGTCCAGACGTATCCAGTGTATGACAAGAGAATTAAAATTGAAGAACCTATGTTACGTCCAAGTTTTGCTCCTTCCCGTTATTGAAGTACAGTATGTCAATCTATTTGCAATTCACGAACCCAAATTAACAACAGAACCAAACTCCAAAGTTAGGTACCAAAGTTTATTCGCAATTCACAAATAGTCGACCAAAATGTCGTTTTAACAACAATAATTATGATAACTACAAAAACCTTCAATTTTATAGGTTCCTGGAGCAAAAACTCCCAATTAGCAAACCAAGACAAACAGAAACCAAAAATGTCCGAAAATAATAAACTAAACAAGTTCATAGGTTAAGTAAAACAAATATACCCAAAAACACAGTGAAATTGATGATATTTATATGAAGGTTTTAATCAGCCAAATGTCTTCATTTCTCCCGTAACACAGGCCATTCATGATCCACTTAATTGAGAGGAAACTACTAAGGAATACAATTGAAAAAGATCAATGAAGCAAACATGTAACGAGGTTCCGAGCCATAAGAAGCACCATCACAAGGAATGGGTCTTTGTTCATAATCTGCACAAGATTCACGAAAGGAGGAAAAAGAAGGCTGCAATCAACATCAGCCGAACAAGAGCAGAGAAAGCCAAGGCACAAGCTGAATACACAGGAGCAAAGATGCAAGTGAAGAGGAGTATAACAGCTGACTAACGCAAGGATATGGAAGATCGAGCAATGACCGCAGAAAAGACTGCGGGAGAAGAAACTTGAAACTATTGTAGGATACAACAATGAAACTCGTTGGAGACAATCGTAAACCAGAACGACCAGCGAAAAGCGATGACGGCAGAGCTATCGTTCATGCACCGACAGAATCGCAAGTCACCAACAGTTATTCAACAGTTAATTACGCAAAGTACTGATTCGCTTGTCAGACGCTTTCAGAAACAACCTACTGTGAGAGAGAACAAACCAGGTTCCATTGGAGGGAGAAATCAGGAAGAAGCGCTGTAGGCGGGTAGGGGACACTGAGGAAAGCACTCGACATCTTGTCAAGCCCTCACTTGGAATCCCCAAGTCCAAAGGAAAAGAGGAAGATCTAGGGATATTCAAGTCGTGGGACTATATACCAATTAAGGTCGGGTCCCACACGTTATCCCAGATCTTTTATAGGAAGGTAGGAGACGTGACATACCAGATGAAATAGGTATATTTGCTGTCGGTTTTGTTGTATGGAAGAAATACCAAAACGTGCTGGAGAAATGGGCAAAGGTACAGAGCAGTCAAAGCTAGATGGCGGCCGGGAAGAGGAGATGCAACGTGACCGTAATGTATATACAGGAAGACTAAGGTCATTGGGTAAAACAAAAGTTAAAATGAATCGGTATTCGTTAATCTCCTCACTGGTACTATTGATTATAATGATAAATGTTGCTGGTTAACCAGTCGTGCATTTCTTCGTAAAAGTGAAATTACTGTAGACCGAAGAACAAGAGAATCGGAAACAGACACGAAAAGAATGGACAGCAATCACATAGAACTGGAAAAGAATCTGAGAACAGAGTAGGTTGGAAAGTGTTGGTCGGCGGTCTACGCTTGAGAGTAACGGGCTTAAGTAAGTAAATAAATATTATTGTTGATGTAAGACGCCACTGGGAACAAACACCTGCATATTTATGACCATAATATATCATCTATATTCACCTTCATCCAATATTTTTGTCAAGACGTAGAATAAAACAACAGACTTCTTTGATCTCAAATCTTGTCCCTTAGATACGGTTCCAGGTATTCGGTAGTCAGATCAATGATAAAATAGAGTCATAAACTACATGTTAAAGAACATCCCTTAATTATGGAATAGAAAATATCTCTCAAAAAATTGATACTTGTATCTTTTAAGAATTAATACGTTGTGAAGATCTCTAACTAAATTTAATGTAACGTTACCGTGTGGTAAACCATTCACGAGTCTAAAACATCACTTTGACAAAGTAATTAGGGAAGGCGATTTCTGTTGAAGATGTCCCGTTTATTCGGAGTTTGATGACGCTTTTGCCCGAAACATCTTTTTAATAAAGAAAACAAAAGCTTAGTCAAACCAGGAGGTCAATGTTATATTTAAAGAATGTTTGTGATGTTGAGAATTTAGTGACCTAGGCTGGCTGGTTGATGCGGAATATGCGTACAATGGCGTACCTTATATTGGTTTGGTGCAGATACTTAGCCGAGCCCTTCATGTTTCTACCAAAATTAATTAGATGAGCGTCAACGTCGTAGACATACAGAACTATTTATTTTGAAGATTTATTTGCCGCCAATGTTATAATAAAATCTCATAATAAATAATACACACATCTCCAGCTAGACTAGACTTTCAGATATTCAAGGACTAATACCAGCCCTCTTCTGACCCCTGAATCATTTGTGTTCACTAGTTTTTGCGAGCATATGGCTTACTTTATCTCTCATAATACATAAGAAGCGTACCAAAAAACAAGAACATACATCAAAAATTCTTTCGATATACATTAAGATGTTGGACAGTGTATTCCTTGAAATGGTGGCACGTTTATGAACTGTTGAGCGACGTTGCTTGGGTATGCGTATACTCGTTGCTTTCAAAAAAATGTTTCCGTTTTGTTAGCTTTTAGAGTTGCACATATTATTTACATTCTATTCACTTTATAATTTCGAATTAACCTAAAATTTTTCGAATTTCCTCAAAGTAGATGTGTTTAAATTATAATTGACCGTATAGAAATAAAAAGCAAGTGCTAAGAAATCACTCAGTCTATAATAACCTGTTATAAAGATATTGGACGTTAAGCTTTCTTCACATTGATTTTCCGTCGTTGTCTTTAGGTTTTAGCCACTCGATTATCCGGAATAACTCCGAATTCCTCTCCTTCTAAGGTTTTTCGCAGAACTAGCTTGAAATTGTGGGGATATCCGCTAAAGGTTTGGGGGAAGCAAAAAGTTACCACTTTAGGGTAGACTGAGAATTTTCATATGATTTTTGAGAAGAACCCTACGGTTGGACTCATCATAATGCACTCGGAAGTATTTGTCTGCAACTTCTCGAATGATTTCCGAAGGTCACCGTAAATCTGTAAAACACCACTTACTCCCGCCCCCACCCAAATCCTGATATCCTCTGTGTATAATGGCACAGGTCAAATAAAGAGACGAGGTATGTTATGTGCACCAAAATGCTATGATTAGGCACTCCACGGAGCGCGGTCTTCCACCCAGACAATTTTGACCTAACTGTTACTCTTTTACTTGCATCGAACTGGAAAATCGTCTGTTCACATAGGTACGTTATACCAAATCCAAATATCGCTTAACCATAATGTCATTTGATTGCACCGGACTGCTTCGAAGGTGTTATTGAAGTTATAATAGGCTACATCTATAAGTAGTGCTTAGTTTTTAAAGGTTTATCAACTCTCTCATGCTGATGATTAGTTCTGTAAACATAAGTATCTTGTTTAGAATCTACTGTTCGTCAGTCAGTTGGAACGTAGAACTTCGTACTTACGTACATAAGTTCATGTTACCTTACCACATTAGTACACAGACGGAACTGTCAGTTCTAATCCCATAGTAGTAGGATTAGTAAGAGTATTAGCAGTAATCGGAAATTTTAGGGTCCGAAGATATTATTCAAGAAGTAGAATCTAGTGAAATAAACCTGAAAAGATAAAGGTGATGAGGAATTCGGAAGGTTAGGACTTCAGAGTACTCAAAGAATGAATGCACCTGCGCCATTGCAAACGGTTTTGACCCAATTACTATCATCTCTCGGGCCCCAACCAGGTAGTCGACAGCTGCCAACATGACTCAGTCCATTTGTCGGTGACTTCATGGATTTCTGCCATGTTTTGGTCTGGACGCCCCTAGCTTTCGTTCAGCCTACTCCTACATCTCAAAACAAAGCTCGACGAGGCAGTCGGTGGCTAGGCATACGTAACACATGTCCCAACCAACTCAACTGATGTTTCACTGCTTCGTCTATGGACCTGCCATTCCTACGTAAGACCCGTTTCTTAACAACAGCATTGCCTATTCGGTTGTCCTACGATACTCGAACAATGCTTCCGAGACACCTATGATCGAAAACAAGCAACCTACGAATCTCCTACTCTGACTGGCCATCTCTCACAGCCATAAAGTAGGACTGAGCGAACTACTACGCACTGCACTCGTCCTTTGGTTAGCAAACGGATATCTAGTGACGCAGGTTGCCAAAAGCCAATTGATCTTTCTGTATTCGTGCTGAGATTTCGTCACACACCATGTCATCAGCACTGATGCCACTACCCATATAAGTGAAGCGGTCTACACATTCGACTACTTCACTCCCTACCACTAGTTCAGGTGCCGATACAAGCCAATCCTTAAACAACATTTCGCCTTTCGACAGGGAGAACTGCATCCCGAACATGCTTGCAATTGTTGCTTAGGGTAGTCAGAAGACTGCATTCTTGTCAGCGTCGTCACCGAATAGAACTGTCATCGGCATACGCTAAGTCAACCAATAAATCTCTTTACAGGTCTACTGCTGAAAATGTTATATCTGGAGCATTTCTATCACAAAATTAAACAAGAACGGAGAGAGTAGACATCCCTGACGGATACCACTTGAAGTAAAGAATTACGATTACAATTCGCCATAAGCTCTAACTTGACCTGTAGTGTTCGAGTAGAGAGCTTGTATAAGGTTAATGTACTTATTTGATACACCTTTTAACGACAGACACTGCCACAGAACCTCACGATCGACAGAGTCAAATGCTGCCTTAAGGTCCACGAAAACAACTATTTTAGGACGCCTAAATGTATGTCTGTGTTCCAGGACCTGTCGTAGTATGAAAATGTGGTCTATACAACCACGTCCAGGTCGCAAACCAGCCTAGTTTTCTCTAGTCTGCTCTTCACGAGCACTAGTAAGGCGTCTAAGTATAATCGAGGCTAACCTATCAGGACCCCCTTGCTCTGCCAGGTGGGATACGTTTTCGAGCATCCATCAGTTCGGTAGATGCTACTGAGATCCACGGCTTCTTCCTAGCCTTATGATTTACTTTACTAGCAGATATCACTGTTGTTTCCACAGCTTTTTTGTTATCATTTCAAGCTGCCTCAGTATGGGCATCACTTACTACATGGTCGCCTAACCGTTTTTCTAGTTGCTCGTGAACTTTCCTTGCGATATTTTTCCTACGTCCAGTAAGACGCAAACAAATACGCTCTCGCACTAGAGCATGATCTGAGTCTGAACAAGTGCTCCAGAATAAACGGCAGTCTTCACTAGAGCCTCTTCACTGATGGCTTATTGCGATGTGATTTAGTTGGGTCGGCTATGGGAGTCGCCAGGTCAAGAGATGTTTTCCCTTATGCTTGAAGCTAGTGTTTGCTAAAAATAGGCGGTTATCTGAGCATAGCTGCAGCAGACGGTTGCCATTATCTGTTCTTCCAGAAGTGACACCATAACATCCACCCAGGTGTCTTTTCTTTCCACGTTGTCTACCTACTTCAGCATTAATGTCACCAGCCATTATTACAGAGTGCTTAATATTTTGGAGAAGCTTAAGGAGGTTTTTATTAAACTTATCTTTCATGTCGTCTGAACCGCAGTCAGTGGGAATGTAGGCAGATACAACGAAGAGGCAACGTTGAGTCCGTACTGTCCCGTTTAGTTGGACAGAGCATAAGCGACTGTCTACCGGGATCCAGTCTAGGAGAGCTAGTTCTGCCGTAGGACTCGATGCTATACTTACGCCAGCGAGGTCACAGGAAGCAGGACTTCCAGATACACGAAGAGTGAATCGAGTTAGTTTTTTTATCTGGTCAAGGTGAAGTCAATTTAATCACTGTACTTGAATCTTCTATGCTCGTTTCGGGGACTTAACATACATCGATCACCCGGGATTCCGGAGTTCTAGCTAATGAAGCCTGTTGCCTCATCTGACGTATTGTCCAGACATTAAAAGCTCCAATATGTAATTTAGTACGGGATTTCAGGAGACCAGTAATAATGTTTCGTGAGCTCAAACCGTTTGCGTTAGTGGCGCGAGGTGATAAACGATCGAAAGGGTTGATCGAGAAGATAAGTTAGTTATTAGGAGGTGTAGGAAGGATTTGATTATGACCAATTTCTTCTCGTGTGCTTTTATTGGTATGAGGGCGGATGTTACTTCCCCGCTGCTCACACCGTAGAAGGGTTCTGGTTGTCAGAAAGGGCGTCGGCGTCATGACTTCCGAAGGAACTCAGCTTTCATCATGAGGCGTCATAACTCTTCTAAATAAAGCCGTTCTAACTCCCAGAGCAGAGTTTATATAGTTTGGATTTTTTTGTTAACGTTTGTTTAGCGAGTTAGTTTCTTGAGGGATGGGGTCGCCAACTACCATCCAAACCCTCCTTTATCCGAGCTTGGGACAGGCAGTAGCCCCGAAGGGTCTACAGCCAGAGCTCATTCGTGCTCCTATTAGGATTTTATTCACTATTGCCATCATGAATATGATAATCTGGGCGGTCTCCAGCATTGGCTTTTGTACCAGCTTACGATACAAAAGTTAGTCATAAACCACTGGTTAGGGTTGTATTTGAACATTATTCTGTCAATTAATTTTATTTAGTTGGTCTATTCTCTGTTTTCAGATATTCCAGGAATAATATAACTTTCCGTTTCTAATACAATATGGCAACTTGGGATGACGTTCGAGAACTAGCTAACAAACTCAAAGAAACGCAAAATCAACCTAATATTTGCAAACTATCTGATAGAACATGGGTCGATATTATACGACACTTGATGTCTGTGAATAGATTAAAGCTGGTCTTCTCAACAGATGGGCGATCATATTTAACTCAGAACGAGCTTGATAAAGAAATCCGGGATGAAGTTGAAGCATATTCTGGTAGGATTACACTAACAGAACTGGCGTCAAATCTTGATGTGGATTTTGACATCATTGAATCACGAGTCACTGAATTGATAACTTTCGATGCACAAAACAAGTCACCTTGTCGTTTGATCAGTATACCTAGTGAAGTTGTCAATAGTACATATGTTCGACGCATAGCTCATGAAATACTTGATCGATTAGAAGAACAAGGCCAGACAAGTATTGGTGAACTGACTACCATATTCAGCCTACCTACAACTTTCATATCGAATATTATGCAAGAATATCAAAGTACTTTATTTCGTGTACATAAATATGGTGAAAAGTACTTTACAGATACTTTTCTAAATGCTTCAAAGGCGAAAATTCGTGGTTATTTTACAGGTGTTATCCGTCCTGTTACTTTGAGCTCGATTGCTTCGAAACTTCAAATTCCTGAAAATTTAATTAATAGCATTGTTTCTAGTCTTATCAGCACTGGTCAGTTGTATGGAAATCTGATTGCCGGTCGTAGTACCTTCGTTCCAAAATGTTATACTCATGCTGAGGATACATATATCAATTCGTTTTACTCTCAGAATGGTTATATTGAATGGAACTATTTAAAACGATTGAAGATCTCTGATCCAGCTTCATATTTAAAGACTAAACTTCCAAATGCTATACATCTCCCTGGTCTTACGGTCAATACATTAATAGTTGATCAGTTAAAATCCCTCATTTCAGGGGTAGTCCGAGACGTATCTTGGATGGACCTGTCCCACTATATTCCAAATGGATTAGATTCAGATGAAAGGTCAGCACTAGTTAACCTTCTTTTGAAAGACGCTCCTGTAAAAATACTTGATACATATTTAATTGCTGACAAATTTATTGAAAGCTGTGAAGCTCTCCTTGAGACATACTTAAAGAAAAAAGCCCACACAGCCTTTCACCGTGAACGTTATGCAATCCTTTCAGGTCCAATTCAGCAACAATCTGTAGAAGTTAATACACCTAAACAAGCAGTTACATCTTCCAAAGGTGGATTTGGTTTCGGTGCACGTGAAATTAAAACCAAAAATGTTAAGAAGAAATATAATCCAAGTAAACGTAAGACAGGTAATTTATCAGCAGCTAATGGTGCAGAACATGAATTTTCTGGTGGCTTTGGTGATTCCGAGTTACTTATAAAGGATCTTTTTTCTCGTTATGTTCTCATGGACGATATTAAAAGTATTTTGTCTTCACAGTTGTCAAGTGATGTACCCAGTGAAATGATTGATCAGATCGCTGATATGTTGGAACTTTCTCTGCAGCAGTCGTTTGTAAGACATATTGGTTCCTTTGTTTCACCGAATGCAGATGCTAACTTCGATCGTGAGAAAAAGTTACAAACCCAGGAAGTAGTTAATAGTATGCTTCTCAGTTTGCAGGTAAAAATAATTTCAAGTTTTCGATTATAACTGATTGACTAAAAACCACTTAAGGTCTGATGGCTATTTTTCATGGCGTAGAACCTTTCAAATGTAAATTGCACCAACCTCCTCGGGCAGTTGTTATCTTAGGAAATAATTATCTATAGGGAAATGTGTTTATGTTAAGAATACAGTTGTTAGAATTTAAAAACCTAATTTTCATTACGTAACTAAACTTTCGTTCCCACTGAAAGATTAATGTTCTCAAATTTAAGGAATCCTAATCTTAATCGAAACACTATTCATTTTTGTATGTTCTTTAAAAATATCTGTATCTAATTTATCTCCGTATGAATATCTGAAGGCTACCTCATGCACTCTCGGGTTCCTTCGAATTTTCGTCTAGAGTACGGCACAGTCGCAGTGTTAACCGCACTGTATCTTTAAGCTGTCATTAAAATTGATGGGTAATTAACAGCTAATTTCGTTTGTTTGGGACTTTTAATCTGTTCCTTAACTAAGCTTAAAATCTAACTGTGACTATGTAATATTTATAAATACATGGAGAACTACATAGTATTTTGTTATTCCATGCAGTTTCGGTTATATTTTTTCTTTTGCAGTTTAACAAATCTTCCCTTTGACAAAACCATATTTTAGACACTTCAGGATTTTGAACATTCTCTGATCTCAATAAAAATCCTTAATAAGGGAGTTATAAATAATCTTATATTTATCATTATTGACATGTACTTTTTCTTCTATGGCTAAAGCTGGATTAATTTAATATTTCAGTTGTTGGAGAAAGGAGTTTGTTCAATAAATCGTGAATCCCTGAAAAACCAATTATTACTTCATCTTTTGAAGAATTATGGTATGCCTATCATCCGGCAGCTATGTGATCACATTTCCTATGAATTCGGAATTTCCTGGCCTGAATCAACAACCAGTAAAAATGATCCATCAAAAATAAGTTCTTCTGATCCAACACAGAATAACAGTGTCAAATCAAATATTTCTGAGTCATTGAGCGTTGAGTCGTACCATCGTCTGATAGAACTGTTGAAACTTACTGGTTTACCAGATGCAACTTCGATAAGCAGTGCTATACACCAAGTTCTGGACAGCTTCAAAGTTGGACAAAATAATTTAACATCGCTTGAAGTATTTTATACTTCAATAAAAAATCTATCGGTTGACACTCTCGGTTTGACTCTTTCTGTATTTCATTCGCCTAATGGTCACAATAGTAAACGGGAACGAGATGAACGACTTAAAGCTAATGAATTAGCTATTCAAGTTGAAATGCAACTAAAAGAATCAGTATGTAATGCTAAAACTAATAATGATTTATTAAAAGCTTCAACAATTGCAACTCTAGCTGCTACCTGTTTGTTCGCTCAAATTATTAATGGCTGGCCAGTGACAGCACCTGGAAAATGTGTACCTGAATTAATTGACTGGTTGTTTGAAACATTGAAATCTGAGGATGAATTAGAATGCAACAATAATATGAAGTCGAATTCACATATTGCCGCTCTGAAAATTTTACAGGCTTCAAATGTTCTACATGATTTGAATAAAGTGGCCATTTATATTTCAGAGAAAGTACGTTCTGGAAATGTTTCTGACGAAGAAGCCAATATCCAAACCTATTTGAAACATATATTAGATGTGGGGACTCAGTGTAGAAAACAGTTGTATGCATGAATGTTATTTTAGTTATCAGGTTATTTCCTATGGTGTTTGTTTACTTCATTTAATTATTTCTATATTCTGACATGATTTATATTTCATATATTTATACTTTTGGGACTTTTTTTAGTTGTTGTCTTCGTTACACTATCTGTAGTTGGCGCGCAGTTGCTTGATTACTGACAACTTGTATCCGCTTATTTAACGAACTTCTAAGACTATTATGATGAAACAAGCGCTCATGGAATTTTGGTGTTGATGACTTCAATCAGTTGATCATACACAACTTAGGTCCTGGCACCATTGTGTTCTAGGTGACAATTCACATCGCCATAGTGATAAATGAAAAGCAACTTTTTCAGGATATTACTACTAATAACCATGAGAAAAAATTAAATCGGAAAATAAAAGGTGAAATTGTATTAAGACCCAAGGTTGAGAGAAATACGTTGAACACATCTGCACCACTTTAGTGAGCCACATGTGATATTAAGTCGGCGATTGCGGGGACCCTGACCAAAACGATTCCATATCTAAACCCTGCTCATTTTAAAAATCAACAACCTCAGTAACTGATGTCATGCCTAATCTACGCCTACACTAGCCACTATCTCACGGTTAATTAATGGTGCATTATTTATATCACAGAATATCAAGGGAGTTAGAATTTAATCTACTCAACAGACTTTACAATAATCAAATTAGTTGTTAGCATTGTGTTAACGTAGAAAAACTTGTATCACTTCAATGGGGGTCACTTTTAAATTATTTTTAATTGCTCTCACAGCTAGCAAGTAATGTATTCAACTGATTACGTTGGTAGCTTAACTGTTTGAGTAGATGTTTCACTAGGTTTATATCGATTTTAAGCACGTTTAATTTTTGCGTTTAAACGTACTCTATTATTACTTTCATAATCCCTAAAAAGTCAGCTCGTCATAGAGTAAAAAATTTTTAACAAAAGGTTCATTCGATAAAAAACCTGAACTAACTAATTATTTAGCAAGTATCCGATTTTCGATGTATGTTGATACTCATTTTTTCATGCCTGTTTATTGATATCATGAAGTCATAGATGAGTTGTTTAAGAACGAATATTGTGTCTAATTGACGTCATAACTTAATAGTCACAATAGTTGTTTACGATCTAAATATATGTCAACTGTTGGTCTGTAGTATCGGAAATTCTTTTAGATAGATAAAAGATATGGCCCATTATATTCCGGAATGGTAACTGCCGTATTTGCTATGGACAACATACTCAATGTTTTATAGCCTTGTGAAAGTATGTTATTAAAAATCCCCAAATTCGACTACATTTCTGTGTAATGCTTTCTAGTTTTAACTGGGATAGTACTCTGATGTTTTATCAGTGTTATGAAAAGAAACAGAAGCAAGATCACATCTAGTACGTTAAAAACCAGCTCATGATCAGCGTTTTCGTTAGTTATACACTTGAATTTCAACAATAAAACTGATAATTCGAAACATGCTTCACTTCCGTTTAATCAGTTTGATAATATCACCGGCTCTCGAACAAAATAAATAAAAGTTTCTTGACATGTGATACTGTAGTGATTCTAAGTTTGTTCTATATTCATTGTAATCTATGACTTTGTTTCCTAAGCGATCGTGAACTCAACAATAGAAACGATATGATCATTTTAGAATTCATAATAATGGAAGATTTATGAAGAAAATCAATCTACTACATAAGTGTTGTGTAGGAACCATTTAATGTCTCATCAGAGCTGCAATTATGCACAAAAAATTTGACTTGATACGCTCTTCGATTCTTACGTGATCTTGTTTACTTCTCACAGTATACACTTAAAGCTATTTCAAATCTGTAATACTACACAGCGCCCAATTAACCGACGAAACAGAACCTTGCTGGAGATGTTTAAACACAAATGGCGAGAAATACCTTATTTAGTGAATTTATCGGCTCCTTTCAGATACTTACGTCCGGAAACATAGTTTGACTGCGGCAATGTTGTACTTCCACTCCTGGAGTTTTGATTAAACATGCTTAGTTGGGCACTTAAACACTCTCCTTAAATCTAAGTAAACGGTGCACAACTCAAAGGTTGGTTCCAAAAGTGACTTGTCATAGCCTTTAAAAGCTCTGAACTGACCACCAGACACGAATTAGGTTTTTGATTTTTTACTCCTCCATAAATTCTAATCAAAAACAAAGTGTTATCTAACACTTACTGAAGAAAATTTACTTTCATAAATATTTTATCATCACCGCGCATAAATGATCCCAACCGTATCTAATATCTAGGCGTGGTGGTTCGACTTGCCTGTCATGATGAGCCAACTAAGCTATGATTGGCTGAAACATATGTTCCTGTATGTTCGGCTGTGCCAGGCAGGTCGAGTGTGGAACCATGAGACTAGAAGCAGCTACTCAAGGTCCGAGGGCAAATTCGTACTACTAACGATACAGGAGTGTGACAGCAGTAAGTTGTTTCCCTCGGACAACCAGCATCTGTAGCAACGCTGCCTTCTCACAAGGAAGGAGGGGGTTAGAAAAGGTCGACCCTAAAAAATTTCACACCTCACCTTACTTCAATGATTTCCGTCTCCGACAATGAGGCCTTTTAAACAAGGGCGGAGCTAACACTTCAAAAACTTCTCATAAAAAGGCGGTGCGTGACCGACCTCGAGCAGTTGTCCCTCGGACTCCGTGGTCACGCTCTCAGGTCTCTAAGACCAACAATAATTTACTTTTTCAGGTTCCTCAAGGAACACCTTTCGACGGTGGGGGCAGCTGGGAAGTAACATGCGGCCCCATACCCGTAACCGCACACGATACCAAATTGGTCACAATCAAATCCTTCCTACAACCCCTAATATCTCTCTTATCTCCACGACAAACCCTCCTCATATCCCTTTATCATCCTGCACTACTAATGCAAACGATTTGAGTTCCCGAAACGTCATTCCTGGTCCCCTGAAACCCCTTTCTAAACTACATGTTGGAGATTTTGATGTCCGAACATTGTGTCAAATAGGACAACAGGCTTCCTTAGCTAGGACTTTGGAATTTCGCGCAATCGATTTACGCTGCGTCTCCTAAACGCACATATAGAATCCGAGTAGCGTTATTCATTTAACCTCACCATGTTGAAATAATGAACCAGCTCGATCTACTCTTCGTGCATCCAGAAGCCCTGCTGCCATTTCCCGGGGTCTCGCTGGCGTAGGTATAGCATTGAGTCATAGGGCAGAACCAACTCTCCTAGACTGGATCCCAGTAGATAGTCGCTTGTGTGCTGTCAGAATAAACGGTACGGTAAGGACTCAGAAAGATAGGGACACGCCGTTGCCTCTGCGTCGTATCTGCCTACGCTCCCACTGGCTGCAGTTCAGATAAGGTGAGAGATGAGTTTTACAGAAAGCTTTCAGACATCCTCCAAAACGTTAGGCGCTCTGATGTAGTGATAGTGACTGGTAACTTTAATGCTCAAGTCGGTAGACTCATTGAAAAAGAAAGACACCTGGGTTGATTTTATGGTGTCGTGGCTCAAAGATCAGACATTGCGATCGTCTGGTCCAGCAGCTATGCTCAAATAGTCGCCTATTTCTAGCAAACACTAACTTCAAGCATGGGGAAAAACATCTCTTGACCTGGCGACCCACACAGTCGTCCAAACGCTGGACCCAACTAGATCACATCGCCATCAGCCACCGACTGAGGGGTTCGATAGAGGACTGTCTGTCGTTCTGGGGCACATGTCTAGATTCAGATCATGCTCTAATGCGAGCGTGTATGTGTTCGCGACTTAGTGGACGTAGGAAAGACACCGCAATTAAAACTCTTAGGGTTCTATTTAATGATAGAATAGCTAAGAATATCTATCTTTCGGGAACAATTAGAAAAACAGTTAGGCGGCCATGTAAGTGATTCCCATCCCCAAGAAGCTTGGAATGATCAGTTCGACTGGCCTTCAGTGACACTTCGGCTGCCCACGATTTCCAGTCATCCCGAACGGCAAGTCGATATAAGTCCTCTGAGTCTTTATGAAGTTGAAGAAGCTATGGGAAACGTGAACGGAGGTTTAGCAGCAAGACTGACTGAGAACCTAGGTGGAGTTTGGGAACTGCACATTCAGACACTCACGCTACGTCGGGTCCTAGAACAAAGACACGTTCAGATGCCACACAAAAGTACTATTCCTCGACCCTAAAGCGGAGTTCGACTTTGTTACTTGTGAGATTCTCTGGCAGTGTGACGAAATCTCAGCACTAATACAGAAAGCTCGATTGGCTTGTGCCAACTTGCGTCACATATGGCTTGGGCGAGCTATCCGTTTGCTAACTGAAGGAGAAGTTCGTTCCGTCATATATACGGATGTGAAACATGGCCGGTGAGAGTAGACGACATTCCTTGATCGCTTGTCTTCGATGCATTGCTCGTATATGCTGGGTCAACCGAGTAAGCAATGCCGACATTAGGAAGCGAGTACTAGGTAATGACGGCAGATCAATTGAAACTTCAGCAGTTGGTGTGGCCGGTACATGTGTTACGAATGCCTAATTACCACGTCGAGCGATATTTAGTGGTGTGGGAGTAGGTGTGAAGAAAGCTAGGTGCGGCCAAACCAAAACACTGCACAAATCCATGAAGTCAGTGACACGTGTACTGAGTCATGTCGGTAGATGTAGGCTACCTGGTTGGGGGTCCACTAGATGATAGTAACAGATAATAAGAGATATTGTGTGACTGCTCAGAATCGTTTGCAATGGCGCAGGTTTATCTCTTTGTGTTCTCTTAAATTCTAATCTAAATTCTCACCTTTATCTTTCTCTTCCTAAAGTGATATCACTGAATTGTACTTTTTGAATTATATCTAGTCTAGTATTCTCTATTAACTTATTCTCTTCTACTATCTCCAACACTATGGTATTTGATCTGACAGTTGCGTCTCTATGCTAGTGCGGTATGGTAATATGAACTTATGTACGTACGTACGAAGTCCTACGTTTCAACCGACAGGCTGACCTAGCTATCGAATCAACAGGCAAGTTTGCCGCACATCAACTTACCTCGTTCTAACTAGCGTATGTAAACGTTGCTAATGAGAACAGAGAACGTTCGCGGACCATGCCTTCAAAGCAGTGTTTATGTAATTGGACGCCGACAAGCAAGCAATAACTGGGTTTTAAACGTAAAATTACAACTGTATCTGGAGCAAGCATTACATA